AGAAGATAAAGGCGGCCCAGCTGGACATACGAATCCGCATGTGCCGTGCATACTTCAAGGGCCGTAAATAACAAGGAATGCAGCGACCTTACCTCTTGTTCATCAAGCAGAGTTCCCTGCTCCCGAATGAGCTGCTCGTCCTCAAACTCCCGCAGAACTGAAACGACGTCCCCGACACCAGCCGTCATGTGACGCTGACGAACCGTCTCCACAATTTTCTCCATTCGATCAATCTTTATTCTCACGGAACAGCAAATGAGGTCGGCATAGGCCTTGCGGTGCTCCTCCCTCGCCTCCCCCACAAACTCTAACCCCGCCCTAACCGCAATCTCTGCGATGGAGGTGCAGCCAACCTCCACCGCAACATACGCCAAAAGAGCCCAGTGACCCGCCACACGAGACGCCCCGCGGAAGCGACTGCTCCAGCATCCGTCCGCAATAACCGTCGTGCCAATATCCGGTACGAGGCGAAATTCATCAGAGTCCGCTCGCTCCGATGTGTACTGGGTCGTCGCTTGAACACGTGCCACAAGGATCGCCAGCAATTCCTCGCAACCCACACGTTTATGAAGATGAACGTCATTCGTCACATACCGCATCATTGTTAAAACAATTCCCCCTAAGATGTACTGCGGGTGCACTTGCTCTGTATGATTTGCCACTTCCAGGGCCTTATCATACTCTCCGGTAGCGGAGAATAAAAGAGAAAGAAGCACCAATGCGTTTGCATCCGCGCGGTTTTGACCCACCAACCTCTGTGCCAACGTCAAAGCACTTTGTATCTCACCGAGAAGAGCCATGAGCCACGCAAGTTTGACAAGCTGAACAAAATCCGTAGGAAATGCGTTAGCTTCTCGTGCAATAATCTCCAGTGTACCTCTCACCAGTTTCCCTGCCATTGTCTCCAGTGTGCTCCGACCCTCTCTCTCTTGCACCACATAACCAAGATAATAGCATGCCCACGCAAGGTGGGTGGTGGTTAGGGTGCAACGGTGTGCATCAACCGCCATTTCCGCTAGGCGTACACCGGCACGCAGGGAAGATACGGTTCCCCTTTTTATTCCAAGATGAGAAGCCAACATGAAAAAACGTGCTGCCAACTGTCGTTGTGGAGTGGCAATGGAAGAAACCGTTGAGCTAGCTTCTGTAGAAACCGCATCCGATGTTTCACATGTTCTGTGGCTGTCGTCGTCATCGCCTTCATACCATTTACCGCGAGGAAGAGGGCTGGATTGACTATTGAACGGCTTTTCATCCATCAGAGCCTTTGCGGTGTCCTCCAGCATCTGCAGCAGCCGCTTTAAGGGAACGTGTCGGTTCTGTAAGCAAAACATCGACACTTCCATCCACTGCTGTGCGGAAACGGGGGGTGCGAAGCTGAATGTCTCAGAGTTGCTCTCCAGGTGACGTGGGACCGTCTCCACAGCCCTCAGCGCCGTAGTCCCAGGCACCCCCCCGTGACGCTCGCCCGGCTCGGCCATTGACGAACAATTTTATTTTCCCCCCTCTTTGCCTGCACAGTACAAATGCATGCAAACACGGTAACAGTAGAATTGTTGCCTCTGTGTACCGCGTTGTTGGCTTCCTGCGCCGCAATGGGTCCCCCCCCTCGCACGGAACTCTCCTCCTCAAAATCCCCCGGAAACAGAAACACCAAATAAATACGCAAAACACACCTCGCTCCTACAAAAACAGTTAAGCACTTTCCATACACGACACGTTGAGACAAGTCAAATAATAATATAAAAAAAAACGAGTTGCAGAAAGCACTCATACAAACACTCATCCGAGCAAAGCAATAAGTGGCAAAACAACAAGAAAAAAAAAAAAAAAGGCAACAAAGAAAAGGAAGAAAGGAAACAAGAACAATACACAAAAGATTCAAGGCCGCCTTACGTTATCATTTCTCCTTTTTGATGTGGTCACACCCACCGTCTATGGTTTTCACTGACATCAAAGTCCTCCGGTAGCAGTTCGTCCGCCTGGCGAATGAGTGTTCCTTGACGCAGCGACACAATATTCAGACGATCATCCAGCACACCACTTACCAGTGTGTGATCCTTCAACACAGCACCGTTAAGTCCCTCCGACGCTGCTATCGCCTCCTCCACAGAGGCCATGCGCAGCAGCGCCGTGCCCGTGAAGGAGCCGCTTCGATCATCAATGGCAATGCGCACCTCTTCCACGCGCCCATACTCTGAAAAGGAAACACGCAGCTGATCCACTGTAAGCCAGTATGGTAAACCATCCACCACGACGTCTGGCACAAATGTGTGAAGAGGCAACGCGTTCGCGTCATCCTTTTCATCTTCTGCCTTGGTGACGTTGTCAAGATGCGCGGGAACTCCGACAACCTCCACAGGCACATCTTGCAGCACACGGTCCAAATCAGCCAGGGTATATGTGTCACAGGCGGGGTCGTGAAATGCTATAAAAGCCAGCTCGGGGTAGTACGCATTGCGTACGGCCTTAAGGGAATTGTCTGTCGAATCAACAGAAACAATAAAATCCTGCACAACGGCGGCCCTAGTTTCCGTGTGACCAGAATCTGTCATGGCCTGCTGTTGTTTTTGCTGTAACAACGTACACGATACCTGTCCGTACCGACCAAAATATCGATTCATTGTTTCTTCATTCTGTGCAGACTCGGAGACCATGCGAACAAACAGATGAGTCGTCTTCTTCGCGGAAGTCGTAGTCGCGGCAGCTAACGGTGGTCGAACATGAAACAAGAAATCCGTTGCCGATGGTTTTTCATCACTTTTAGCGGTTTTTGATTTTGGCAATGTTTTCTTTTTTTCATCCATGCTCACCACAACATCTTCTTCCTCTTCTCTCTCTACCGCTGCATCCGTAGTTGGCGAGGTGGCGCAGCCCGGTGAGACGCTTTCACCCACCACCTCTCTGGGCCTTTTTCTGGCACCGGGGGAGAGAATTGACTGCTCTCGGCAAATGGGATGAGGCGGTGAGGCCGCAAATTCAGGAAACGACAAAAAGGAAAGAATGTGGACACGCACCTCTGGTGGGCACAAAGATCCAAAGCGACGTTGTAGACACAACAGGAGCATTCTTGCGTGTTGTTTGGCAGCAGGGCTTACGCAAGAGAAGAACAGCGGAAGCAGGAAAGAGTTCTCCAAGTAGGCACTATGAAGGTGCGGAACCAGGTGGAGAAGACGCGCCAAATGGTGGTGGTGCAGATCGCGTGTGATGGCATCCATTTGGCGTTTCTTGCTCTTCCTGCTGCCACTCAACTAAGTTCTTGTGTCCGCTTTTTCAACACCCGCTCCTTCTCCTTCTGGCACCCCTTTTGCGGTCCTGAAAAGCAAAAAAGTAAAGAGGCAGCAGAAAATAGATAAATGAAATACAAATAGGCATAAAAGAATATGCAGACATACATGTCGGGTGGGGGTTAGGGGGGCAAAACGCCATAGTAACACCCCATGCCATTATCTTCCTTCCTGTCCTCCTTGTTGTTGTTCCACTGACGTCAAATTATTCGTCGTTTACTTCATTTCTCCTCAAATCCAATTCATTTACTGAGGAGGGCTGCTGGACTTGAGTATCGCCGAGCGCAGTGCTGCACCATGCGACGCAACCATGTCAATCGCGTCAGTCAAATGGGGCAAAAGAAGTGGAAACCGCCCGTGATGCAAAAAAGAGACAATTCCGTCCGTCTCATCGATTACGACCGTGAGAAGAACATCCGCCACGCTCTCCTCCGCCGCGTTGGTGTCCAGCAGGAACTGCATACTGCCTGCGGTGCCACACAGGCCAATGGTGGCGGCCACTGGAATCCTGTGAAAGCACAGGCACCTGCTTTCTACCACATCCCCACTGGGAAGGCGTGCTTTAGGAAGCGTCAAATTATGCAGAGCTGCAACAGCCGCGTGAAGAGTAGCAGCCCGGAGGCCACCATCAGCATTCATCAGAATCAGTTCCACACGCAGTACCCAGCAAGCCTCTCCGCTAATCACACAAAGCTCGGTGAGATCCAGGCAAGAGATGATGGTTGAACGAACGAAACGAGCCAATTCATGCAGCGTCCCTTCAATCTGGAATGCGCTGTAACCCGGGAAAAACGGAGCCGTAACTTCCACCGTGAGACGACCCTCCTCAGGGTGTTGTGGCGGCGGTGGGCCAAACACACCAGTGACGATACAGTTCACACATGTTCCTGTGTCGTCGGTGTATAGCGTAGACGCCAGAACGCGATTTATTTTCGTATCCTGTCGGTTTTCGTGAAGAATATGCGGAACTCGGATAGAGTCAAATGGGCGCCCGTCTAATCGTTTACTCTGAGTAAGGAGGCGAATGACATGTTGCTTGAAGGAACTGAGCTCCACAGCACCCGTAGCGGGCGGAAGTGACATGCCAAGGGCCCAACTTTCCCGTGTTGAATGATAGGCATGCCATCAGTGTTGTTCATAAGTATTTTACCGGAGTTCGTCAAAAAAAAAAAAAAGGAGGTAAAAAAAAGAGAAAATGTAAGAAGCAACACAGATGTCCGCTCGTGACTGTTTTAATCTCTCGTCTCGTTTCTTCTTTTTGTTTTTGTTGTTCATTTTTTGCCTCGTTTCACTTTCTTCCTCCATCGTTTCTTTGCCAACCGCACTCCTTCCTTGCCCAATTCCCATCAACAACAACGTTTTGGGTTCCGTGTCAGAGCATTTTTCTCTGCAGCGCACTTTTCTTTTTTCCTTTCGATTGGGGGTAGAGAGAGAGAGAGCGCTTCACCTCTCCTCCCTGCTTGTTTTCCTTCCTTTTTTTTTTTTTTTTCAACCATTGCAGCAATTATGATGATGTGGAAAACACGACACAACAAAAACGAGCTTATCCGTCTTGAACTTACATAACAGTTACTGCTATCAAAGGATTTCATGCGGTTCTGTAAACGTACATGCAAAAAAAAAAAAAAAAAAAAAAAAACAAGAGGACGGGAATAAATGACATATAGAAGCCCTTGAAAAAGGAAAAAAAAAAGAAATCTTTTTTTTTTCTTTTTACGACTGCAATTTGGTTCCACACTCCGCACAGAATCGCTGTTTTCCAGCGATAAGCTTCGCACCGCACTCAAAACAGAAACGCATTTTTGTGCCTTCAGTAGATCCATTTCCCGCCTCAGTCTCCTTCTTCCGTTGCGGGTGGGAGGGAACACTTTTTTCGGCGACATCGCCAGGAGCGGGGGGTGCTGCGGGTGGCATTTCTTCCAAGAGGACTTGTTTTTTGAGGCCAGAGCCCGTGTGTGCCTCCCAAGGCCTATCGCGTGCATTTCTCCTCTTCTCTTCATGGGCCGCAGGAGCCGTCTCTGGGTGGTGGCCCGCGGAGGCCGAATTTCGGTGATTCGATTTATTGCGCTCCAAGCATACTTCTTCATGCTTCGCTAGGCGGTTAGCGTTGAATGTTCGGTTGCAAAAGCGGCACCTTGGAAGTTCCTCCTTTTTATGCACCCCCGCATGCACGCGAGAGGCAACATTCTTGAAGCGAGAGACATTGTTCAACGGTATTTTTACAGCATGCCTCTCTGGGGGAGTGGTGTCATCCAATGCTTGGGAATCATCAAAGGGTGGGCTGGCGGCAGGAGCGGAAGCAATATGAGCAGCGGTGGCAACAGGTGCAGCGGGAGCATCGTCACGACCATCATCATCGATTGCGGATGCATCTTCTTCCACGGGAAGACTCTCAGATTTTCTTTCATCCTTCGACCCTGATGACGCAGCACAATGCTTATTGGTGTCGTTGACTTCTTTTTGGGTATCGTTCTTTTCCTCACCCACATCTACGGCGGTTCTCGGCGCCGCCTCTTCATACGCAACCAATTTTGTTGCGGTCCTTTCGGCCAGGCTTCGAGAAACTGAGCGCGTGGCACCAAATGCCGATGAGGCTGCAGAAGCAGCGCCATCACAAGCAGCCTCAGCAACAACAACAACACCATCCCCATCATCACGATCACACGTGACTCCTTGAGTGGAAATGGTTGGATTCGCACATTGCGGTATTGCTTCCGGTGAGTCTTTCTCCAATGGCTCAGAATCCTCTGCATTGCCCCATGCGGCTCTCTTAGTTTGAGTAGAGAAGACAACTTCTCGTGCACCTTTTGTCCGGGCAGCACTGGACGCCAGGGGTGTTGAGGGCTCTTTCTCCAACGGTATAGGCTGACGTGACTTTTTGCTAGGAAATGCGCCAGCAGATGCACTCTGTGCCCTTACTAGGCCCTTGTCGCCTGCAGTTTTGCCAGCGAGTGCGCGGGCCACTGGCCTCGAAGCACTCGCCGCGCCTGGTTTGCAACTACGCAGATGAACCTCCAATCGGTCTGGAAGGAATGTCCGCCCGCAGTTCTCACACTTTACGAGCATGTTCGCATTAAAGTCTTGAATCTGCGCCTCATTAAACCGATCGATTTCACTGCCCTTCAATTTTCCACTCCTACCCCTACCTCCTGCTGTCCCACCAAGAGCAACCCTTTCTTTCATCTCCTTTTCATGCGTCTCCGGGTCCACCGGTCTTGGCCCTCGCCTTGCCGGATCCATGCGCTCCCACTCAATGAGCTTCTTGAGGTGACACTGCGGTTGATGGATGCGCAAACTGGCAGAGCCAAACTGCATTCCACACAGATAACAGAAGAGAAAATTGGGGCGAGAGTTTTGTCCACTTCCCTGTGAGTTTTTCTGCTTTGTTGATGGGGGTCGATCATGCATCACCTCCTCGAGGACTTTATACAAACCACGTGCTACAATAAGGTTCGGCACAGGGCCACTGCCGCCTCGTGGTGTCGCAGCTTCGGGTGAGGTACGCGTATTTGCTCCCCGGGCGGTTCGTGGTGTCGCAGCTTCGGGTGAGGTACGCGTATTTGCTCCTCTGGCGGTTCGTGGAGTCAAAGCATGCAGTGAAGAACTTCCACCCTTGTCAATATGTTTGGAATTCATTTCTCTCTCCCCATATGATTCTTCCAGTTGTTACTGTCGTTTGATGACAGCTGCTACTCTCTCTCTCTCTCTGAGCTTTGTTTCGCCTCTGCCCCTCTTTGCCGTCGCCTCCTGTTCTTTTTTACTTCCTTCCCTGATTTGTTCCTCCGTGCGTGTTCGGACGCCCCCTTTAAAAACCTCGCGATGTGTAGAAACAGGCTAAATGCGCCCTTCTGCACCCACAACGCAAAAGAAAAAACGCAAACGCAAATAAAAAGAGAGCAAACAGCGTGTAAGTGAAGGCCGCACCGCGTACAAAAGCGCGCAGCGTGTGTGAGTAAAAAAAAAAAAAAAAGAAAGAAAGAAAAGTCTATTACTTCAGTCTCATGGCTACCGGCAGCACCAGCGAGAGTCGTGGAGAGTCAACGGGAACAAGATAAATAAAAATAAAAGAGAAAATCCCTTTTTTCTTTCCTCTTCCTTCATTCCCCCCGAATCCTTCCCCACGGCTTATAATCATACATTAAACACACGGCCCCATACATACATGCCCATTTGTTACCAATTCATTCCTTCCTTTCGTCTTTCCTCCTTCCCCACTTCCTCTGGCAGGCGATGCACACCACTCCCTCCACGTGGCGGATTAATTACTTCTCCTTTCGTCGCTGAAGAGACTTTGGGACATATGGCGTGGCGCCACCCATCATGATCAGCTCCATCTCCTCCTCCGTAAAGAGGTGCGGCTGAAACTTTTTCGGCAGCTCTTCAAATGTCTCCACAAAAGTGCCCGCCAGCACGTTACTGCTACTCTTATCGCTCGCAACGGCAGCCTTTACTCCTCCCACGCTACTAGCGCCGTTTTTAACCGCATACTTGAACTGAATAAGTGGATGGTGACGAAGCACACATGAGACACGCATCATTCTGCCTCTTTGGGGCACACAGTAAGATTTATTCGCTTCGCCGTTTGGTTATTTATTTATTCTTATTGTGAGTTGACCCTCCCTTTGTTATTGCCAGCAAATGCGAACAATAACACAGGAAGGAAGCTGTCCGCTACACACACACACATATACACAGAAAGAGACAGATAGAAAGATTGTTGGTGAGAAAAATAAACCTTGTGAACTGTCATCAAAGGGAAAAACAGAGCAAATAAAATTAAAAAAAAAAACAGGAAAAAGATAAAGATTTCATGCGATTACGATGTGGTGAATGGTGAGATCTCCAGAACAACATAACCAACCGTGGCAGCCGTCCAGGGATCAATGTCCACAATGCCGCAATCAATGCCGAGTTTAAACCGTCTTTCCATAAAAGCAGTGACGCTGCAAAGGGCATTTGCCAGCAGATAAAAATCCCCATCGGCAGTAAGCTGCAGAAAAACAATTCGCTTCAATACCAACAGGGGCCGGTCCTGCTCTAGAGATGTTATGTCATGCCTTAAAACGTGTACTGTTGCCTCAACATCCGCTTCACTGTCGAGGAGACAAAATAACATCGCAGGTCCTCCCTCTGTTGAGGAAAACGCGGCGTCAAAGCCTTTGAGATTCCATTTCCCCCGCCCATTCTCCCGATCCTCCTTCGCAATGTATACAACAGACATCGTCGACATGGATCCAAGCCACTGCGAAACGGCCGTAGCCAATAGATGTGTACTTGAAGACTGAGAAAGCGTTGATGCCTCCTCAAAAGATAAAGAGCCACCTGGATCAGGAAGCAGCAGAAGAACACCACCTCTCAAAAAATCCCCAAGGATGGAGAGCAAAACGGAGCCAACGGCCTCTAAAGACATGGCTTGGCGCCAGAGAGAAGGCGGAGAGACTTCAAGCCTCGCCACGTCCCGTGCACCAAGAATGAACGCGACTGTGCTGTGCATAAATGGCAAATTTGCCGCCGCTTTTTTACCCGAAGGACCATGAACTGCAACGCATGGCACAACCCCCACTAACTCAGCAACATCCGCCACCATCGTACATTCGACACGCTGTGGACGTGGATATAAACACGCCATGGATCCATCACTACAAACCGTAGCAATACCAAGACGCTTTGTCAGAGGCACTGCCGAAAGCACCGTATCCACGAGTTGTTGTTCCGCCAATGAAAGAAGTCCCTCGGGTTGTGAAGGAGAGCACAAAGGACCCTGTTCACCGAAGTTTGACACATCTTGGCGCAGGAGAAGCGTCACGTGGAGATCACGTTCCCACAGGCGCGTCAAGCCTTCCCGAGAATGTTGCAAAATAAAGACTGCAGAAAGACATTGCTGCACGGGTGGGGGAAGCCGTTCAGCCCACCGGTTCAAAAACAAAAGGAGTCGTTGCTGCTCCAATGTAGACAAGAAACACTCCGGCGCGCCCTTTAGGTTGGGAGAAAAACAAAATTCGCCAGTGACAGCAGGAGAACCCATTCCCTGACCCGAACTCAAGCTTTCTTCGCTGGACAGTCTCCGAAAGTAAAATTCCATCTCCCGCATTGAATGCGCCGCGACAGGAACATCAAAGGGCTCAAAAAAACGCACGGACGGTGGGGACCGCGTCAACTCTGGTTGACCGCCTCCCGCCGGGGAAGAGGAGGCAAGAGGAAGAAGAGAACTCTCAATGGTGCGGCGAAGTCGCTCTGACTTTATCTCCCTCGACGCCGCTGTCGCCAGTCCCATCCACGGGCACCGCGTACATGAGCGGGCCTCGACATGGTGGACACACGGAATGGCACGGGGACGCACCCACGCAGGCCCACACCCTCCTCGGCCACGCCACAAATAACAGTGTGCGGACTTCGGAAGCCGACGCTCCTCCACGATTTGATCAAAAAAGCGTGACGGGGCCCGAATGACATCGCCGGTGCCAACACCGTGAAGAACAACCCGCCGCTGCCGCCGCTCCTCCAGCCTTGGACTTGCTAGAGAAACAATGGAATCACATCCGTCCTCCACCATACGTTTCCCAACTATAATAACGTGCGAGGCCCTTAAACCACTTGACCGTCGTAGCGATGAGCGACGCGTCAGCTCCTCAAGTGATTTCTTTAGGCTCATTTTTTTTCTTTTTCTTTTATTTTGCCTGCACTCATCCACATTGACAATGAAAACAAATAAAAATAAAAATGCATGAATAAGAGGAATTCGATGTATACAGGGAAACGAAAAAAAAAAGAAAAAAAAAGAAAACAATAATACACTTGCACGCAAAAAAAAAAAAAAAAAAAAGATGTCGTTTTACCCAGCACAAATACAACCCTTTTTGTTTGTCGTTGTTGTCTATTTGTTGTTGTTGTTGTTTTTTCTTCGCTCGTTGTTGTTTTTTTTTTTGTTTTTTTGTTTTTTTTTTTTTCAGTTATCCCTCTCTTATTTGAAAACTGCACACGCAGCTAAATGACACACGCATCAAGAAGAGAAACAAGAAATATATATTGTAGGTATGCACATACAAAAAAAAAAAAAAAAACACACACACACGCACACATACTCACTTATATATGTGTGAAAACTAAATCACAAGCGCCTCGAAAGCAGCAGGTGAGCCCCCCCTTCCCGGTCGATTGTCGCGTCTAAAAAAGAAAACAACAACAATAAAGAAAAAATCACTTGTTCAAGATGTTCACTTTTCCACTGGGGATTCCACCACCGTCTTCACTTCTGTCAAAGAACCCTTCCCGTCATCATATTGGATATCAACCACATTGCTATTAGAATTATCTGCTACATGAGGCACTCGATTCGGAAGCCTCTGTGCCCGCATTTCAAGCATTCTACGGCAATAACTGCTGTAGTCCCAGTGTATATACATGGCAGCAATTACGCCCGAGATATTCGTCACCAAAGAAAAAATTATAGGCATAAGAACACATTGCCGACCATAGCACAAGGTGCCACCCTGTTTATCCGCCTCTCGCGTGTACCATTCACCGTATACCAGACGATTCATCAAAAGCGATGCAGCGATCCCTGCAAAGGAGCAAACGTTATAATGTTTGGCAACATCTGTCGCAAAGATGGTGCGCAAGACAATCACGATTGCGGCAGCCGCGGATCCATTGACAAGGGCTATGGTAAAACAGGGTAGGGGAAGTGCATTCGTCGGCAAGATGAGCAGCAGCAGCAGGGTTGCCACTGAAAGCACAGAGGGGACAAATAAAGTAAATGTGATGGGCGTGCGCTCCTCCGCAGATCGGCCTTGTGTCATCATCTCCAGCACACTCAGCAAAATGCGGCCCAAACCACTACCGACGCCTGTAATCACAACCAAAAGGGCCACAAAGGATTCGCCCAGAGGCTTCCCTGCAAGCGCCCCAAAGAGAAACCGCATATTCCCCATTATTATGATTTGTGCCCCCGATGTGGCAAAGAGCAGCCAAAGCAACGCCCAAAATCGCAAGGTCCGTAAATTTTGAACTAATGTTGTCTGATACTGTGGAGCAATGTAGTCAAGTTCCCTTATAGCCGCCGTGCTGTCCATCGTACCCCTTGACAACAGACTGAAGCGACTAAGTCGACTCGCACGGCCGGATCCAAATGAAAAACTCCCCGTATGGGGCAACGGCAACTTCCGATCAAGCACCTTCCACGGCAAAGCCATCATCGGGTAAAATGCGCAGAGGCCTACGGAAACGCAAGCAAAAGTAACGTGGTAGGAATTGTCCAGCTCCATGTACGCCGATATGGCGCCTTGGACAGGAAGGAAAAAAACCAAAATAAGTACAATCGTAAAACCAATGGCAAAACGAGTCGTGGGGGCCTTCTGCCTCAAAAACTGCCTCCTAATACGATATCGCTCTTTTCGTTGGGCCTCCGTAAGAACGCGCTTTTCACACCCTCGGATCATATATGGTGGAACCTCCACAAACACAACGCCAAAAAAGGAAGCCAACATGGCCAAGACGGAAAGAAAATAAAAAAAGCTGCTTGTGTCACTGTCATTTTCTGATGGGAAAAAAGCCAAGTGAATGGCGCCAAGAATGGCAGAGCCCATCCCACAAAATGTCTTCATGACAGCCACAACAGCCCCCTTGTTAGCAGGAAATATAGATAACATCGTCATCACGGAGCCCAAATCCAGCAAAGAACTCCCCAGAGACTGCATGCAAACATATAACGAGAATGCCGCCATCGAGCCCTCAATGGCATTTGCAAATGTCAAACCAAAGAAAATGCCTCCTAATGGAAACAACACCAATGCGATAAGGAAAATGGGTTGCGCGCCATAGTGGTCGTAAATGGCACCCAAAGGCAAGATGAGAACTCCTACTATGTCACCAATTGTTGAAATCGTCGTCATTTGGCTCTGTGTAAAGTTGTACTTGGATTGTATCCGTCCATTGTAAAGATTAAATGTATATGACGATGAGACGGCCACACAGCACAGGGCACCCACCACCAACTGCCAAAAACGCCGCGGCTCACTCAGAGGCGGTAATCGAGGGTTAAATGATCTCCAACTTCGCCGTCCCACTTCACCTCCCCCTGCAGCGACAATTCCGTTGCCCTCTCCGCAAACGTTCTCCGGGCCCATGTCTCCCTTGAGGTGCACTGACTCTACTGGCAGCTCAGGTCCGAGAAGACGTGCGTGCAACGACGATCCACTTGTCCTCCCATCCACTACTTCTTCTTCTTCTTCATCCAAGTCATGGTTCAAAAGGGAACTTGTCTCGTCGCCATCTTCCATCATCTCTTCAAGCCCCTCCGTGTTGCAAAGTAAAGCCGCCTGCTGAATGGAGGCGGCCATTTGTGGAGTAATGTTTTTATTGAGTGCTTTCTACAATCCGCTTTTTGTTGAATTCTTCTTCTTCTTCTTTCTTTTTTTCTCTGCGTGTGTGTAGACCTCGTCGTTACTCACTCCTCCCCTCTCACAGAGACATATTGGAGACAAACAGAAAAAAGATACAAAAAAAGAAAAAAAAAAAGCACTCATCATCCTCTTCAACTGACACGTATAAACATACATAAATACATAGAGAAAGATGCACATACACAGTCACTCTCATTCTGTTATTGTATCGCCCACTCAGAGTGTTTTGTGAGTGGATGATAATAAAAAAGGGACTACACAAGAAACATACGTGCAGCTGCACCCATTTCCAGATCTCGTAGCGTCAAATAAAACTGTTCCTTGTCAATATAATTCTGCTTGAGGTAGACCGTCAGCTGCGTGTCTTGGAAATCCTGTGGCCGCACTTTATCACCCGCAAAGCACACCTGCACCATTGTTACCGCGGATGACGTGGGCATTCCGACATGGTTCAAATGCAACCGTCGCAGCAGTGGCCCGCATGCATGAAGCAAGCAACTCAATAAGTCCGTGACTTCCTCGTCCTTGTCATTAGAGAACAATGGGTTGTTCGTAAGGCCAACAGCCTCAAGTGGATGCAGCTTTGTTTCAGTAATATTATTAGGAGAAAAAGCAGAAGGCATGCGTGCATCCGTTCCAGACGCATTCCCCTCCGTGTAGTTCACAATGGCCCTCAGCCCTGACACGCCAAATCCGTTGCTGGCCACAAATAAACGCTTTAGAAAACAAAGTTGCGGCAAGCACCACAAGCAGAGTTTCGTAATGCCCTCGTCTCCCAGGCAATTGCACTCCAAGTCCAGTGTGTGGAGGCCAGCAAAACTGTCCAAAGAAAAGATAGAAGTGAGAGTAATGGGGTCCTCACCCCTCTCGCCCAACCTCCTATTTGCATCTTCGGCCTCGCATGCCACGTGGATCGCACGGAGTTCTGCGTGCCGCAGCTCCACACCCTGAAACAGTCGTGTGGCCACCCCACAGACGCCACAAAGAACAGCTGACGCAACATCGCCTGGCTTCTCTTCCACCGCAACTGTCGTTTCACGGCAATCGCGTGTTCTCTTTTGACCGCCATTCCCGCCAGCCAGGCGAGCATGACGCATAACGTCCCCGCGAAGTTTCAAAAACAATCCCAACCTGCCTGATTGTAGCCGAAACTGCGCATCCTCGCAACAATGAACCGCAGCGACCCCCTTAAAAGAGCTCAGTGCGGCAGATGGACGCATCCGTCACTTTGATGATAACAAAGGTGGCGTAAAGTAGAAAATAAAAAAAAAATTGATAATAATAAACCAAAAGAAAAATAAAGGCCTCTCTCTCCCCCCTCACTGTCGCTCCCAAGGGAATAAAAACAAACCACGCGACATTCAGCGCACCCTTTTTGATGCTAGACGTATGGTTTCTATGAGATCTTTATTAGTGAACGCCAACAGCAAGCTCCCACACAAAAGGGAAAAAAAAAAAAAACAGCAGGACAAAAAATTATAACAAACCAACAACAATTCTCTATGGTGCCTCTATCATAACGATATTGTTGAAGAGTTGGAGCTGGCCTCAAAATCATCATCGTAGTCACTCTTCTCTTTAGGAGCCCCAGTCCTACTACTACTACTAGTGTCGCTGCTGCTAACTTCAGTGCTACCGTCACTAGGAGAATCGCTAACCGAACTGCCACCAACACTTCTCACTCGCTCCTCCCTTTTGGAAGTCACATCTAACTTTGATTTCTCCTCAGTCTTTGGTTCTACCGCCGTGACGGCCCCTGTATCGGGAGTACTCGTGGCGGCCTCTACAGCATTCACGTTGCTGGTGCTCGAGGCCTCATTTCCCCCAGCAGTCAGAATGGTGGCCAGGGTGCCAACGTTCATGCCCGTCTCCTCCAACATGTGTATAATTTCCTTTTCTGTCTCCGCACGGGTCTTTGCAATATCGTGTAAATGGGTGGGTTCGACAAAAATGGGTGGTATCTGAGCCACACGCATCCGCATTTCCACAAGTCTTTCAAAGGCTTCCTTCTCCATTTCACGGCTTCGTTGTCGTAGTGCTCGCACTTTCTTCTTGATGATGGCGTCCGTGTTCGTGGAAGTACCTCTCAAGTACTCCTTCAGCCGTGCATTCACAACCTTTTGTCGTTCGTAGCCTTCACGTATAGCCTTCAGGTCATCCCGGTTACTTTCCCGAGACGCATCTGTCTCGGCTGCGCGAAGATACTTGATAAACACCGCACGCGTGCGTATTGCGTGGGCCCGAGTCCCCTTTGGAACGAGTTTATTATCCTTTTCTACGGGCTGTGATGTCGGCTGCGTGGGTTTCGCCCCACTCGCTGCAGACCTGCTCCGCTGCCGTGAGTGTGTAGCTGACACAAATCGTTTCGTTGGAAGCGCAGGACGTCCCCGGATAACGGTTTCTTTCGGGGAGACTGTCAGATTAAAAGATTTTACTTCTGTGGGCTGCGCTTTTCTTTTCCGCTCCGCCAGCGTCAAGCGTTCATCAGCCCACATGCTTTTAAAATCGGGTACACCGCCATGTATCCGGGGTTTGAATGTCATGTTGCGATTGTACCCCCTTTTATCACCGCTTTGGCTACGCCTCTTCAGTGGCGGTTGTGTGGCAGATGTCGCTCTTTTCTCATCAGCCACCTCCCCTGTCGCGGGAAGTGACGTTTGCGCTAACGGCTGCGTGGTCGTCGGCCCTGCTGTTGCTGCTGGAGCATTACCCACCAGAATCATCTGTGGCGCTGTTGGCGACACGGCGACTGCCCCGATGGGTCCGCCCACCGGCACCGCTGGCAATGGCATCGGCCCCGCCGGGAAATGCTGTTGCTGCTCTTTTACGTGTGAGTTGGCTCCGACCGGAGCTAAACGTCGTGCCTCCTCTTCCTTCAACAGATTGAATCGCTCCGCTGCACGCTGTTTGATGCGTTCAACCCGCACCTGCTCGTGCTCCTCCAGCGCGGGCCACAGCTTCATCTTAACCTCTAGCGGGATCTCCCGTAACTCCTCAACACGTCGACGGTCCCTTCCCTCAAAATCTGCGCTCTGTGCACGCTTAGCCTTCGCATCGTGCCGCACCCCCATGATCTCACGAACCTGACGCATGCTCTCCGCGGAAAGACGCACTAATTCCGTCTCTGCCTTCATCCGCTCGGCCTTTTCAATGGCCAATGCTTCCACCGCAGCACGCCGCTGTCGCCACTCTTCCACCATGAGATCATACTTGTTCATGTATGTGGAGGGCGGCACGGGATTCGCCTTGAAGCGATAGTTTAATATCTGCTGTAGCGCCTGCTCCTTTTGGCGTTGCTCGGATTCCATCCGGCGTGTTCGTATTCGCTGCTCCTTCTGCAGCTCCCGGGACTCAAAAGAAAAGGGGCGAGGATTACAAAGCATCCTCTCGCGCTTCGCCTGGTACTGCGGAAAACCGCTCACCACATCAAAATACCGCCGGAGTGCCCTACTGGACTCCCGCTGGTAACGCAGTCGCAGTTCCTCCAGCTGCGCCATCCGCTCACGCAGAGACACACCATCACCAAGTGCATCGTTACCACCTCCAGTCTCCAAAACGGCAGGGATCGACTGAGAATTGTTGACATCCCCCTGGCCACTCTGCTGCATGCAGCAGCTTAGCTCATCTATGGCCATAATTTCTTGTTCGAGCTTCTGCTGCTGTTGCTTGAGATCCTCGATCTCCCGCTCCAGAAGCTCCTCCATTTGATTCCCGTCGCAAATATCGCCGTGCGTATGTAAGTGTTTATGTCTGGCTGCGTTTATATCGCGCAACCACGACCCTTTATCTTTCTCCCTTCAACCCCTCTGCCAATCACGGCCAAATGTCAAGGCGTCAACACGCAATGTGGAATCAAAGGAGAAGAGAAGGGGGAGAGACAACAATGAAGAAAAGCAAAAAGAGCACAAAATCCCCACCAAACAAACAAACAAATTTATAGATATATAATAAAAAAAGGGAAAGGCGTTGCAAATGGAATGATCAGCCATGATTCGTTGGATATACACTCCTCACTACTATGGAGATAGAAAGAAAGGAAGCAAGAAGCACTAACGAGGGAAAAGTCACAGCGAGCCCTTTGTCCGTTTTTATACGCACCTTAACAATATTACCCTCTTTTTCTTTTTCTTTTTTTTTTTTTTCTTTTGATTTAGATCTATTTATTTATTCCTGAGACTCGCTTTCATTGATAACACGTCCTTGCCCTTTCCGCCCTGGACCTCAGTGCTCCACCCTCGTGGGGGAGAGAAAGCCAGGGCGAAAGGAAGGAAAAAGAAAAAAAGTTCTACCACTGGGCCCCCCTTCCACCGTGTCGTTTCCCATCTTTTCCTTTTGGCCATTTCTCTCTCTTCTGCTCTCCGCTGACGCCGACTATTCGCGTTCGAGTTCAATCCGCACCTCCACATTCTGCCGAAACCGAAACCCCGAGAAGAGCACCAGAGCGCATCCAATCATCATCGCAACGCCGCCGGCAATCTCGTACGGCAGGGACGCCGTGGGAAGCGACAAGAGATTGAACACGAGCAACGAGATGGGGCCGCCAAGGGAGAAGCTGCCGGAAAGAGTCATGCGGTCAAAGAAGAGGGAACTCCAGTGGTATGTGAACCAAGAAAAAAAAAGGAAGAGTGCGCTAACAATAATTTTGAAAAAGTCCTCCGAAGATATCTCAGTTAACTTCTTCTGGGAGGTACCAATGGGCGATGCAAATGCACCCATAACGTACCCCACAAAAGCAAGCAGCAGTGTCACCAGAGTAGTGGTGGATGACATAATAAAAAAATTACTCACACAACGACTTACAGTGCGAACCTGAAAGAGGAAGTACGCCATAGAAACACCACCCACAACTGAAATGCAAACAGGCACAGCCCGGTAATATAATTTGCCGTCATCTTCGATCTCCGCCCCCACGTAAAAAACAACAATTGACCCAACGA